ACACTGAAACAAGTTTGCAATGTAATTTTTCTCTCATTGGAGGCCACTCGACGGGTACGTTCCGGTTCAAGACCGGATTCTACGGCCTAACTACAACGCCCGCGGAATTTCAACGCGCAATGGATTGCATACTTGCAGAATATCCGCAGGCGCACGCGTTCATCGACGATATTTTGTTCGTAACCAAGGGAACCGCGATTGACCATATAGCAACAGTGGAAAAAGTTTCAAAGAAACTGGATTGGGAAAATATGTCTCTAAAATTAACGAAATGCAAGTTCGCCCAACGGGAATGCGAATGGCTAGGCCATAAAATAACATCGACTGGAATAACTCCATTGGTTGGAAAAATAGAACCAATAGAGGCGCTAACGCCGCCGCGAACTCTGTCGCAGCTAAAATCGATCATGGGGTCAATACATAGCCTGCACAAGTATCTACCGGCATTAGCTGAATCATCCGCGCCGTTACCACCCTTGCTAAGTAAAAGCAGTGAATACATTTGGACCCCCGAATGTCAGAACAGGTTCGAAAATCTAAAGAAACAAGTGTCGAATATTGTTGAACTACGACATTTTGATATCCACAAGGACATTCGTATAGTGTGCGATGCAAGCCATAACGGACTCGCTGCGGTGTTGGAACAGTTAGGACCGGAAGGGTGGCGCCCAATTTCGTTTGCCTCGCGATATCTTAACGAAGCGGAAAAGAAATATTCAACGAACGAATTGGAAATATTGGCAGTTGTGTGGGGGCTGAATATTTTTGAAATTACATATTGGGCCAAAAATTTTTGATCGTTACCTACCACAAAGCGCTAATATCCCTTTTGAATGGTAACAATAAGAAAAACAAAACTATGTTTAGCCGCTTAACGCGCTGGTTAGATCGGCTGATCCCCTTTGATTTTCGAATTGAACATAAACCAGGGCCAAAAATGGATTGGCGGACTACTTATCACGTCATCAAAGTAGAGAAGCAACGCCAATTAGTACGTATGATAACATTTTTACTGTGGCAAAGATCAACCTAATTCGCACCGCTCTCAGTTTTAATACATCCATGGAATACGAATCATCCAATAATAAATCCAAGGGACCAATTTGCACAGCGGGGAGTAAGCAATCTATAAATAAATTGGAAGTTTCGTCACGAGATGAATCGGTAGAGGGCGGAAAAACATTAAACCGGAATTCGGCCAATCAGATTCAAGCACGTGGCTTGAGCCGACGGCTACGCGAAATACGCACTGGATTAGCTAGTGCTATTATTAAATCGGAAGAAAGTTGTTCAAAATCATCAAAGTTTTAATTTCAAAATGCAAAAACTGAAATCAGAATGGATAGGAGTATGCGCAAATGGCAAAAAATTTTGAAACAGCACCCTAGTTTAAATAGCAGTAGCGATGAGATTGAAGAAATACCACCAAATGTATCACTGGAAGCCGTTACTAAAGAAACAAAGTCGATCCGAACTAACACAACTCTCTCGTTTTCTCGGCATTCAAAGGTGAAACAGTACCACCGGTGGATCCGAATTTAATATGTATGTCAATTATCCCTCGAAACTGCAAAATTGTTAACAAAATTACTTCCTAACCTGACTTGTTTAATTTAAAGTTCATAGAATCCAATTATGTTTCTGACCCCTAACTGAGCGCAATCCGCGATCTGATTTTTACCCAAGATCCTGACATTCATGAAAAAATCAGTGCAATGAACCGCTATTATGCTCAATTCGTTATGACTTTTCGGTGAAGGAGAACGTTGTGTGGATGGATGAAAAACTAGTAATTCCCATTAATCTTCAAACTGCAATTAACTATAGAATTCATGCCTATCACCACGGAAGAACAAACATGTTTCATGCAGCAAAAGACGTCTGGTACCCTTATATTTATCGCTCAATAGCTTCCATGGCCGAAGAGTGTCCCGAATGTTTAGGTAAGAGTTAAAAACGATTCTAATGAAAAATCAACTTGGGACTGTACCCGAACCGAAAGAACCAAATGAATCAGTCCAACTCGATTTTTGGGGTCCCATCAAGTACTTAAATGAATCCCGGAAATACGTATTAGTGGCGGTCGACCGGTTTTCTCGTTGGCCATCGGCAATGGTATGTGGGAATGATCGGTCCGATAAGATACTGAAGTTCTTAAAAAGCTATATAACAAATCATGGGGTGCCACGGAAAATTCACGTTGATCAAGGAACGAGTTTTATGTCAAACGAGATTAAAGCTTTCTGTAATGGGGAGGGCATTGAAATCATTAATTCGCCAGTAAATGATCATCGGGCAACTGGGTGCGTCGAGCGTATCATTGGCAGTCTTAAAAATTCTATACTGACTTTCGCTCAAGAGAAAAATCCCGAAACCTTGGAGAAAATGGTTGGAAGGGCCCTTGGTGCCCTCAGATTTTCAGAAAAATGCAACACTAAAAATCTCGCCATTCGAAGCGCATCATGGTAGAGAAGTGAACACAGTTTTACGGAACCTTACAAAAAAACCATCTCTTCAAAATCTGGATTGGTCACGGGTTATAACAACGAAAAATGCTTGTTTAGATGCCGCCGATCCCAATGCGCAGAATATGCCCCATCCAGCCGATACAAACTGGAGTGTACAATCGGACTTGGCGTACGACATCAATAACAGGAGCCATGCACGCCGATTAACCGAGGACCAAGCCGCCAACCAACACGACGAACCGTCAATCCTAAAACCCGAAAAATCCAGCGGACAACCAGGACCATCTGGATTGTTGTTCCAGCGAACTGGAAACAGGAACCTAAAAGGTATAAACAACTTCACTCTAAAGTAAAATCCGAAATTATGCATACATTAACCTTAAATAATGGGGTTGTGCTTAGAAAATCGGGAGTGGCTACAAAGCCCAAATCAAAGAAATCTAAGGCGACATCTCAATCGGTATTGCCGGTACCATCGCCAGCGTCGCGTGAAGTTAAAGGGCGAGCATCTCATACAGTGCTTCCACCGCCAACTCCGCGTGAGGTTAAAGAGCGAGCATCACAACGAGCTATTTCGGACAGACAACGGAAGAGAACCGGGCGCCGATTTGAGAACACTTCGGAGTCGGAGGACAGTGAAGACTTGCCAATTATTTTGGTAAAATGGGCTAAACAACCATCAACGGACACACCAAACGCCCAAATAGCACAAACAGCAACAACAGTGACAGATGTGGACATTGGAAGCGACTAGGACACCATTCCGGCACGGGGCAGTGATTTGGATATACATCCAGGGGATCAAGGAACGTCCAATCCAGGGGACCAGTCACATACAACAACTAGTAAAAAGAAGGGACCAACCTCAAAGAAAGCCAGGCTGGTATTATGCAGCAGCTAGGGTGATAGTCAGGATGAAACCTCATCTACGACGTCTCGGAGAAGCGGACGGAAGAGAACTGCGGTCACTAAGATGGGGGGTGTGATGATTGATTTCATCAAGCAAAACGAAAAAGAGGGGAATAAGTGAAGAAGTGATCAAAAAGAAACGAGTAAAACTTTGCTACATTAAAACTTTCTAACCCAGGGAGAGGGTGGGTCATTAGTGACTTGAAAACTCAAACGTCATCACTGCTCAGTGATTTTTTTCAGTTGATCAAAATTGTTATCTTAAAAGTCTAAATTGTGTCCAAACAAGAAGTTAGTAATTTCTATTCAGTGATTCATAATCAACAGGTGCAGTCATATTTCCAATCAACTAAAGTTTCATTATCGAAGGGGAAGTGTTGTATAGAGTTATTTAGTTCACTTTGCAAGCTGTCAATCAACTGTCCACTCTTGATGCTAGACTAATTGATTAGCAGGTGTTTGTCCTTGGAACAGTCTGTCACCCTTGGATACTGTTCACAACCATTCTCTATGCTAACTTTGTAATATTAAGTTAACTATCTCATCTGGAATTTACAATTGGACGACTATCGTTTTTACATTTTCAAGATTTTGCTGAAAAAAATTTAGGTCATCGCCTTGACTAATTTACCGTGGAGCAAAGTTGGTGTAAACTGTATCTTAAACTTAATTTAAATGCATCTGAAAAAAAGTAATTCAAGCTAAACTTCAATTTTAACTGAGGTACGTTAAGTTATGGTGAACTTGATTTTATCATCACAAAAAAATAGATTAAAGAAAGAAACGCAATTAACTGTTTTTTTTCCAGTGTAATTGACTTTTTTTGGATGTCGTCAACTTCTCCGCACACTTTAATTTGGAATAAAAATCTTAAGAGCTATCCAGTTTTCCAATTTTCACGGTAATTACCTCGTTACTGTATCTTACTCTTTATAACTGTAGATGAAAAGTTATTTGTGCTCGAGTTTGTTTTACATCAATTTTTTTCAAACCACAAGTCTATTTTATAATAAGAAATAGCTTAAGCAAAAAGTGCCACAAAGATAGAATTGCTCCAAGTTGTTAAAAACTCTTATAAAACAAACAATTTGTTCACTTTAAATCAAGAGTTTGAACGTTATCGGCTCAAAAAATTCAAACTTTGCTTCGAAAATTTCTACTATAAGAATTTTAAGAAAGTTATACTCACTCTCTGAATCATTTTTTTCGCCATCCACTTCAATACCATAGATACTATTTAACGCTGCCATTCTATCTGTAGAAACTTGTCATCATCAGGAATCAAAATTTCACCCGACATTTTTTTTAACCAAGCTTGAAATTTTCACTTCATTTTTTCATGCATATGTTTAAAATTGATTGGTTTTCGACAATTTAGACCAAAATTAGAAATATGCCAAAGTAGGTTATTTCTAAATAATCTCAAAATATCGCCAGCTTAATTGTTATGACTTGTCGGAGTAATTTTGAAGATTTTGAGTTTTTGGTTCTCTAGCGAAACCAAAAGAGAAACCCAGCACACCCAAAACTGACCAAAGGTTAAATACTTTGGTCAGTTTTGGAAGATGAAAATGAAATGTCATTTCACTCAGTTGTTTCGAAAAGTTTTATTTATTTTGATTCCTTGAGGCCGATTTTTCTGCTCGGAATGCTTCTTTGGAGATTCTTCTGCGAACATTTCGTAGTCAATAACTGAAATATAATACATGGTAGAAATTGGAAACATTCCTCCCAGGGGCCGGGCGCTCGAAATTTAGTAGGTATCGTCCGCTTTGGTTAAAAACGGGTATGTTTTCTCTGCCTCGCCAAGTTTGGGTATTTGGGTATATTTTGTCGGTGTCCGGCATATTAGACGACACGACATTAAGACGACCACCGTTTTGATGGGACTTTAAGACGACAAAACACGCACATCTTCACCTTGTATTTCTGAGTAATAGATTTCGCTTAAATTCGAACAGTTCAATATACATGTTTCAACGTTCATTTGTCGTCTAAATGTCTTGACGTCATAATTTCTAGTCGTCTTTTGTACCTAGCACTTATTTCAAAATTCTCGGCCAATGAAAAATTTGTGACTCAAATGAGAAAGGGCCGAATTTTTTGAAAATTTTATTGCTTTTTGAGGCCTGTATATGCCTTATGAGTAAATTAATGGCAACCATTGCCAAAAAAAATTTTCAAACTGGAAAAATTAGCAACCATATTAAGTGAATATTTGACCAAAAGCATATTGTTTGACTCGATCGAGGTGTGTACTGCCCGTGATCAATCAATTATGCTAATAATATGCTTCTAACATGCATTTTCGACCGTGCTCATCCCAATTTGAGTGTGTTCCGACTTTCAGCCACTAGGTGTCAGAAAAATAATTTTGTTTTTCAGGGCCTTTTTGACCGAAGAACAAATCCTGTTTAGAGTTTTGCAGAAGAGTACAGTGCTGATTTAAATTATACTGTTAAAAATAATAAAACTTGAAATTTAAAACGCGCGCGTTTTCTCGAATTGGGTTGACTTCAGACAAAGTGATGATTGTTTTGCGAAAATCGGGGTTCAAAATTTAACCCCAAAAACTACTATTTTCGACTTTTGTTTAGTCAATCAAAAACTACGCCAAAAATTTTGCTGCAATTGCTGACAAAAATATGTCAAAACCAGCCTCTTGAATAGCCCAACAAAATTTGAGAAGGGTATAATCATCTCAGTTTTGTATAATTAAAAGAATTTTTATTTGATAGCCAAAAAAATGATTAAAACTCAAAATCTTTGATTAAAAACAAATTTTTGGCGTAAGCAAACTTTCAAGTTTTGGCGTACTTTTTAATTGACTAAAAAAGCCGACAATTGTCCTATTTGTTGGGGTTAAACTGTGGACCCGAATTTCGCAAAATACTTTGCACCAAATAATTTTGCTGAAATTTTAAGCAAGTCTTATCTTCTTTATTTTAATCTAAAAACAAACAATTTGAGAAAAAAATGCGTTATTTCATTTTTGTTTCGTTTTGTTCGGATAGTTTAATCCAGCACTGTATAAAGCCAGTTTTATTTTTATATTCATTCTTGCATGATATTGACTTGATTTTGTTAAAGAATCAACCTAAACGAGAAAACCTCAAAAGTTTAATTTAACTCCCTGTGGGTGTCTTTCGTTGCCAGAAGCTTTTTTAAGGATACCTAGTCTAAAACTTATTGTTGGCGGGTAAAACTCTCCCAATCAAGTGTTGGGTGGTGAAACCCGTTGTGAAGGAGACTTTGCATGTTCATCTTTTTTTCTCACATTTGTTACGAGGCCAAATGGTGTATTTTGTGAGTTGTAAGTGGACTCCACAAGAAGGAGGCTCTCCCTGTTATTTTTTGTTTTTTCGTTTTCTTCGATTGTTCGAACAAAATTTTAACAATTTGAAAGTTTTGTCTTTGGTTTCCAGAGACCTACACACACCAAATTCTGCAACTATCCAGCTCAAAGTTTTACCTCGTTATGTAGGAAAGATTCAATCCTCAGTGTAAGCGTGCCTTCAGAGTGCAATATAACGCGCAAGCAGCAATGGCCCAAGCAGCAATTTCAAACCCCTATAAATTCATAAAACAACATCACACGTGAAAGTTTTTTTTGACTGGACAAAAACAACTTTCAGATGGTATAAAGCTCAGACAAAAACGCTTTGATAAAAATGTGTTTCGATTTCTGGTTTTTTCTCTTCAAACATTTTCTATCTTTTTAGATAGCTAAATTTACAATTTTTTTAAGTCATCGAGGAACTCTTGATGCCCTGAGCTCAAAGTCTTCCAGATACTGCTGGTGGACAACCTTTTTCCGAGTCTCGGTGCGTTGCTTATCAAACCTTTCTTCATGAGCTTAGTTGACTTTGAAAAGGAAACGGAAAAATGTAGCCTGCTTATACTCAACTTACAAATAAGATATGACTAGCCTTTAGCTTATTTGATACTTAACTTGTGTCCTGATAAAAAAAAAGACATAGAATGATGCTGTATCGTTCTTTAGTGACACAGGTACACTGAAAAACAAAACTACTCCCCAAGCATAAATTCCAATTTGTAACTTTTAAATGATATTATGAAAACCAAAAAAATTGCAAAAAGTAACTTGAAAGTATTATAAAAACAATGACAAAAAAATGGCAAACCTGAAACAATTCTCCTGCCAATAATTTCAAATTTTTTTGAAAATTAAATCTAAATTATGCGAAGCAGGCTTCAAAGCAAAATTGCAAATTTTTAGTAGTTTTAATGATATTTTTTATCAAATCAATTAATTGTTAAACTTATGTGCTTGAAGCTGAAATTTACTCGCGGCACGATGAAAGCAGAAACGAAAAAATAGAAGCTCTAAGTTTTTTTGGAATATACCAATTTCATTTCATTTTCACTGATATTTAAGCGCGACAATTATATGCTGTCTAAAAACAAAACCGAGATGCTTCTCGAAGTTCATTGGAAAAAATTTCAAAAATTTGAGCAAATAAACATAAAAGTTTTTGAAAACGAGCAATTGCTCAGCTTATTTTTCTTTTTGCACTAATTTTTTTTTGACAGCGAAACAGAAAATTTTAGCCCATTTTTGTTGAGCTTTGAACACAAGATATAATAAGCGTTAATTTATTTGATCATTAACGTGTGACCTTGGGCAAAACAGAAAGATGCTAATTTATTTTTAGCGGCTCAAACACTCAGTAAAACAACATGACTATTTCTGCAAAACTTCGACATTCTTCATACTAATTTAAAATGCTGTGTTAATTTTACACATGTGAACATCGAAATCAACAAAAACAAAAAAGTAAGATAAAAGCAAACGTGAACTAATTTTTTTCTGCCACAAAAGTTTAAGCGCATGAAACATTCAACAACAGTAAATAGAATAAAAGAATTGAAAAACACTTTTATTTAGCTTCAAGACTCAATAGCAAAACAGGTAAATTTTCCAGGCGCCAAGGGGCTATTTTCGACATAATAAATGATATAAAAGTTGAAAAAAAATTCTATCACATCAAACATTTGATGAACATGTGTGCTTAAAGCTACCAGTTTCAGCAGGATGTGAGCAAACAACAAAAAGGTATTGAAGCTCTAGCTTAATTTTGAAATGTTGCAAATTTTGAACTACATCTCTATGGATACTTGCATCCGAATGTTATACACTGAGCAAGATAAATGAACACCCACATTTCGAGAAAAAAATATTTGTGACCGGCTTGTTTTTTTTTCTGCAGAAGTATTTCAACATCTCAACAAAAAAAACTATCGACGTTTTTTTACTAGCTAGAAAATATCAATGTTTGAGCTCAAAGTTAAC